TAGACGCTGTTGCGTCTGCATTCGCCTTTACAAGCCGTTCCAACTCTGTTCCGTAAGCTCCGAGTTGCGCAAGCCGGATGACATCACACTCTGCTCGGTTGAGCTCAGACAGGGTAATTAGTCTATTAGGTTGCGCGGCCCAAGCAGCTCCCTGTCTGCAGACTTAAAGCTGCTGCTTGAATCGTGATAACCACACCACCGCTTTTAGCAACTTAGTCCAGTCGGAATATCTGCTGATAAGCAGCGATGATGGTGTTGCACTTGAGGTCGCACCAACCTGTGCGGTGGAACGTTTCAATTCTAAGTTGGCTGACTCAGAACTCGGACAAAACTCAGGCCACTCATCCTCGACACTCAGTAGGAATTCTGGGCCACAAAAACAGCGGATGCCGTGCCACTAGACAACAGGTCTGCCGGATTGCATTCTGATTTGATATGCTTCCACTGACTGGGTTCAGTTATTTCCTGTATGACTGACGGTCGGTTGGCAATAAAGGTGCTGAATCTTTTAGATGAATCATTTATGTAGCACAAAACCGTCGTAGAGTCAGTCCAAAACACAACTTTATAGAAACTCATGTGAGCTCCTTCAGTTAAATCTTCATATAACCTTGTCCCCAACATGGCTGCCGATAGCTCCAGTCGCGGTATCGACACTGATTTCGGAGGGGCTACTCTCGACTTCGCGTATAACAGAGAACAATATGATGTGTCTTCAGCATGAAACCTAGCATAAGCAAGTGCGCCAAACCCAGCTTCAGAAGCATCGCAAAATATGAGTAGTTGCGGCCGCTCATTTGTCTCTCCAGGCTTACTAATGCACCGAGGAACCTTTAGAATGTCTATCGCCTTCACCTCACGTAGCCAGGAAGTCCAAATGTCACAGCCATCACCAGTGACTGGGTCATCCCAATGTAGTTTCTCTCGACATAGTCTTTGTAACAGTAACTTTGCAGGCATAATTAAGGGGGCGATCAGACCCAAGGGTCATAGACAGAAGACACAACAGACAATATGCCCCTTCTCGTAATTGGCCTCTCGGGTATGGTGAACTGATAAAGAAAATTGTCCTCACGGGAGTCCCAGGCAATTCCTAAAGTTCTCCTAACCACCCCAGGGACTTCAGCTATCGGTTTGATCGACTCAGCTATCTCAGCTTGCGGAACCGCACGATACACCTCTTCATGACTGCAGATCCAGTTGCACAGCTTAAATCCACCCCTACTTAACATCTCTCTGAGTCGTGCCACAAATTGCATTGCTTCCTTCACGTTCGGTAGCGATATCAAGAGGTCGTCAACGTAGAAGTTATTGTGAACAGCTTCCGCCACGATTTCACTGTAATGAGGTCTCCAGTCATCAGCTGTTCGACACAAGGCGAAATTGGCACAAAACGGTGACGAGGTGGCACCGAATGGATGCGCCGTCATTTGATATTCAACCACTTCTGAACCAATCGAGTCATCCTTCTACTAAAGAAACCGTAACGTCCCCCTGTCGCGTAGAGGCACTTTCACCTGCATAAACATGTCTTCAATGTCAGCAGAAACTGCCACCCGTTCAGTCCTGAAACGCATAAGGATACCAATTAGGTTAGCCGTAGTGTCTGGACTTTCAAAGAGTTGGTCATTCAGAGAAAGACCCTTGTACTTTGCTGCACAATCAAACACCACTCTGAGGTTGTCAGGTTTCTTCGGATTGATCACTGCCTGATGCGGTAAAAACCACCTTGGTTTATAGTCTGGTCGCAGCTGATCGCACGGTACAGGAATTGCGTAACCCTCTCCGCATTTTTTCTTATAACCGAGATATACCGTTCGCGTAATGACGGATCACTTGACAACCGTTTACGCAAATGATCTAACCTACGCCGAGCTGCTTCGTAATTGTTAGGAACATTGGCATTATGATTTCTCCACGGCAGGGCTATTTCGTAATGACCATCAACGAGGCGTACGGAACTTTCTACAATACACAGGGCTGTTTTATCTTCCCCGGATAATGACCGACTACTCGAACCAACACTTTCAAATCCGCTATCAAACAAGACTTTGAGTTGCCCTTCAAGCGAAATATCATCAGAATGCACAAGATTCACGGAGTCACACTGCCGGGTACTCCGACCAACGGGACCAAGTAGGGTCCAACCGAGTAGGGTTTTTACAGCAAATGGGCGTTTTCGTCCCTCGTCTCGTCGTTCAAACTGCCAGTGAGCTTCTGGAACGTCGCCCCCAGCAGTATCCTGACCCCGCGGTCACTCAAATCATCGAATTTGACGTCCATCAAATGTGGCTAATTCTCAGCTAATTGCCTGACAGGTGCTGTCACGGGTTGTAATGGCAGGTGACTCAAGCAATGTGCATGATCTACAAGCACGCTATCGGAACCGTTCAGAGAAAACAATTGGTACCTAACCAACCCCACGTTTAATGGGGTACATGCATTTGCCGTTTGCATTTGCAAAGAAGCTGGTTTCATCTCTACTCCAGCTTCCCGCAGAACATCTTCCTTTACCAAGCTTATATCGGAACCGCTATCGATCAAAGCATAGGTCTCGACAGATCGCAAGGGGCCTACCAAACGCACGGGTACCACTCCGAGCGAGACCTTACCGGGAGTGCCCTAAGTATTGTGACAGTGGCTCAAAGTTTCCTCGGGCGTCTTCGGTATTGCCTCGTTATGTAACAGTGCGTGACGTCGCTTCTTGCATGTGGCCAAGCTGCAACCCCTGCTGACTCGGCAGCTGGCGGAACGATGACCAATCTCTAAACAATTATAACAGCCGCCCTTGTTTCGGACCAGATCCCAGCGCCTAGATACATCCAGGCCTGCAAACATAGCGCATGTTGATGTACTGTGATGGTCACCGCAAGCCAGACACACTGATTCCTTTGGGGTATCTAATGTAGTATATAGGGCGAAGTTACGACCGCTTCCCTTATCTTGAAATACTCGTCGCTGCCGAGCGTCATTCAGCTGTCGTGGTGCGATTGTTGTTACTATCTGCCCGAACCTACTACGGGCAATACGAGCTTCCGTGGAAACGCAATCGGCCAAGTCCTTAAAAACGACATCTCGCCCGTCTTGAACAATTGAATCGGCTGTTCTTGCCTACCTGGTTTGCAGTGCATTTGGGAGAACACGGACTATTCGCTCAATAGTAGCCGCGGAGTCTGAAATTCATCTAAGACAAGGCCACATAACAATTGTCTAGTTTTATGGCGGGACGCGACAAAGCGTCATGATCCCCATCAAGCGGTCTCAACCCAGTAAGCCGACCTTCGATTAGTGATCGGGCAACAACGTGACACTGGCCAAACAGTTCACGGAGTATGAATCTAGCCTTATGATACGCCTGAGTAGGAGGTAGCATTACACAGTCGCTTATAGTCTCTTTTGCACGACCTTTGCAATAATAAAATAAATACAGCAACCGCTGCCCACCGTCACTCACCCGGGTCCCGACAAAGTATTCGAACTGCATAATGAACCTCCAGTAAGCTGTCGGATTACCATCAAAAAGTTCCAACTCAACCTTAGGCAAGTCTAATGACGTACGACAAGCAGACGGTAACGGTTGGTGATATGACGTGGGCGTAAGTATCGGTGGCACGGTCTCTTGACAATCATTCAAAAACTGATTCATGCGATCCACTCCGACATCAGGTACGTAATTGGAAGCAGTTAGGTGATCAGGGCAATAAACATTCTCTTCCATTTCTAGTCGTAACCTAGCCATCTCTACCTCTGTCTCAGCTTGCTGTCTCTTAAGTTCTGCTAGCCGTAATCTACACACGCATTACTCTTACGACTACTGTGCGAACCAGAGCAAGAAACAGTGTCACCAACGGGGGACAAATTTTGAACTTGCCGGGATTCCTTCATGTCTTCATTGGCATCGACGGGGGGCTTCTTATTCTTAGGCATTGTTCGATCCGAGAGAGAAGTTGTCCAAGGCGAAGAGAAGTCGCAAATTCAGGGAGCGTTAAGCACTGGAACGCTACAAGTCGTTTGGAAATTTAAGTTAGGCGTTCCCCACCAGAAAATTCAACAAAAGACCAGCTCCGGACCAGAGAAAACGGTGGTATTTGTACAAATTCATCGTACAAAAGTAGAAACTACCTTAACAGTTTTCCAAACACAAAAGTTCACCAACAGATTTCAATCAGTTCCACAAAAGGTCCGTAAGCCAAGGTGCACACGAAACAAATGAACACAGAGGTGAGACCGAAGTTATGATAAGGCAATTGAGCCAATCGTAAGCGTCCGCCAACGGGAACGGGCTGAGGACAGACAGACCTGCCACACTGGATACATGAGTTGTGGGAACACAAAATCGCTTATGTCAAGAGAACAATGACAGGTCCATGGGGGCGGAGTGAATTTAAGATGAGTCACCGGGGTCACTCGCTAAGAGCATCGAGGCAGAGAACAAAGGAATGGAAAGTAAGGGGGTTAGTAAACATAATCGATCCAGACGGCCGAGCAATGTAGAATTGGGCATTCAACATGGGAGAGACTTAGTTTGTCAAAGTATTTTCTACGACAAGTCGTGCAATGTGTCGAACACGATCTGCAGATACTAGGGTGGGTCGACTGGGCTCGACTTGCGCAGAGGGAAATCGCAAAGCTTAGTTCTGTCTGATGATGTCAGCGGAACAGGCCGTATGTCCAGTGTGGGAGACATGTTTATTATATCAGCCTCAGGATCACTCCGTTGCGCTCCGGCCACGGCTGCCTAGTCTATAGCCGTGCCGACGTCAGCATAGAAAGCCTGTATTCGGGAAAGTGCATCGGCGACAGCGTTGTGCACACCTGAGACGTGCCCTATTTCCGTCGTAAACGGAGCGACATAGTCAAGGTGGCGCGACACTATGAGGGTATCTGACGGTAGTCGAACAGGGCATGTGTGTTAAGAGTTGTGCTCGGTGAAGAAGGCAAAGAAGCAGCCTTCTAAGACGTATCGAAAGTGACGTATCCCTAGATGTATGGCTACCAATTCAGTGATCTGTCCCCCCCCCCCCCCCCCCCCCCCCCCCCCCCCCCCCCCCCCCCCAACCCCCCCCCCCCCCCCCCCCCCCCCCCCCCCCCACCCCCCCCCCCCCCCCCCCCCCACCCCCCCCCCCCCCCCCCCCCCCCCCCCCCCCCCCCCCCCCCCCCCCCCCCCCCCCCCCCCCCCCCCCCCCCCCCCCCCCCCCCCCCACCCCACGCATTCCGAAATCAATCAGCTCGACACTCACCACACGAGATTCGCCAGCTGGATTTCATCGCCCAATTCTCGACTGATATCCGACATATTTCTGGCCAACAAAACGTCGTCGATGATGCTCTTTCAAGAGTATCTGCGATTGGCCCTGCCGGGCAGGCAATCGATTTGTCTGCTATGGCCGCCGCGCAATCAAACGACCAAACCTTTTCGGAACTTCGCGATACTTCTTTGAAGATATCCCCGCACCCTTTGCCGTCATCTGATGGTACCATTTTATGCGACACATCTACCGGACGACCTCGACCCGTCATTCCAGAAACTTTTCGCCGGATCGGTTTCAACACCCTCCACAATATCGCCCACCCAGGCATTAAAGCTACTGTTAAGCTTGTCTCTGAGAGATACGTTTGGCCGGGGATGCAACGCGACCTTACGCGCTGGGCACGAAGATATCTCACCTGCCAGCCAGTCAAGATTCAGCGGCACGTGTCCGCTCCGCTTGGTCGCTTTCCGCCCGGTTCAACGCGACTTGCCCATGTCCATCTCGACATAGTGGGATCCCTAGCCCCGTCAAAATGCATGGTCTATATTCTGACCATGATCGATCGTTGCACCCGTTGGCCCGACGTAGCTGCGGAAACCGTAACACGCACTTTTGTCGAGCGCTGGGTCGCTTCACACGGCTGTCCAGCCACAGTGACTACAGACTGCGGTCCACAATTCGAATCTACGACCTTTAACGATCTCCTTAAACTCATTGGATGCCAACGCATTCGCACGACCGCCTATCATCCGCAAGCGAATGGCATGGTGGAACGTTTCCACCGACAGTTGAAAGCCTCACTTAGCGCTGCCAATGCGCTGAGCTGGACTGAAGTGCTGCCTATGATCCTCCTTGGGATCCGATCAGCCCTAAAGGCCGATCTACGTACGTCTAGCGCCGAGTTAGTATATGGACAACCACTGCGTTTACCTGGCGATTTCTTCTCCGTTAGTCCCAGAATTACCCGTTACGACGCAAATTATGCACGTCAGCTTGCCACGAGCATGCGTCAGTACAAGCTTCCCGACGTTAGAGAACAACAAGGTAAATCTTATATTCCACAAGACCTGCAGCATTGTCCGTTCGTTTTTCTCCGCCTCGATGGTCTCCGCAGACCACTGGAGCGACCTTACGAAGGTCCTTTCAAGGTCCTGCAGCGTAAGGACCGCGTTTTTATCATCGACCGTCACGGTAAACGCGAAGCCGTTACAATTGACCGTCTCAAGGTTGCCCACGTGGAACCTGAGCTCAACGAAGACGCTTACTCGTCTTCTGACGAATCAACGCAGCCTATGATGGAAGACTCGACTGCTTGCAACATCCCTGATCCCAAGTTTCACGCCCCATCCAAGCCTTCCACTTCAGCTCCACCGCTTCCCATCGAACCAACTGCCACATCTTCAGCAGTTCCTCCAATTTTGCGATCCGATAGGACGTCTAAGACGACGCCTTCCTCTGATTCGAACAAGTCGACTAGGTCGGGTAGACGCGTTCATTGGCCAGCGCGATTAAGGGATTAGTGTTTCTTTCACTTTCCTTATCGTTTTTCTTTTCCCTTTTGGCCAACAACGTACCAAACCACCCAAAAGCTTTTGAAAACGCCAAAAAACCGACAAAAGTTTTTTTGAAAACCTAAAAAGAACGCAAAATGTTTTGAAGAACCAAAAAAGAACAAAACGTTTTGAAAACACAAAAAGAGCTGCGTTTTGCCTGACGCCTACCTCATCCGGTAAGTGTCACTCTTGCTTTTGCCCTCGCCTCCACCGTCACTGCTCTTGTTTCCGTTTATCTTCCATGTATGAACCGGAGGAGATGCCAAGTCTGAAGCGAACATTTGACCTTCACGAACTCGCGAACATTTAACGCTTACGAACTTCCCCCATTTTGTGTTTTTGGCACCGTTAGGGAGGACACGGGTGGGAGCCCGCTAGGGTCCGATCGCCTGGTTCTCCCCCAGCAGCTGCATCAGGTTTCACTACCTGGTCTCGCAGAAGGCTGGCCCGCGACGGACAGTCCTCACGTAGATCGAAGGGTCACCCACGGTTTCCCTTCTAGGAGGGGCTGTGTAGCGACCTGGAGATTCCCCCGTATGACTGTGTAAACTATTCTAAAATATTCAAATTATAGCTTTCTTATGTATTAGGGAACTATTCGGTTTGCCTGTTGGAACGTTGTTCCCGTTTGTTGGAAACACGAAAACGATCTCCGCCTTTGGCGCGCGGCTCGACTGCGAACGACGCTCCGTCTACGCTCTCGACGCCAACGACATTCTCCCTAGCTAGCTCTCTCCGGGTGCCCTATTTTTAGCATTAGCTAACGCTCCTCCGTCCAATAAACTTCTTCCCTAGTTTACTTTTGTGTCTTCTACCCACTACTTTTGTTTGGTCGTCTAGTCGCGTACCGGATATATAGCGCACGATCCACGCGCTGTAGCACGACCAGCCCTGAGTCGTACGCCACCAGGATGTTCTGGTAGGGCAGAATGTGTCTTCCGGCTGACCACCTGAAAACCCACAAGACCTTGCTCACCAGCCGCCCGCCTGCTCCTGAGGCTTTTGATGGCTTTCTTTAACTTCAGTCGATCTGCCAGTGGGAGGTCCGGCTGAACGCTGACATTACTACCCTTGAGTTTGAATGCAAAGCGCATTAACGCTTTGCGTTCCTCCGGGGTTGAGAGCACTACACGAAGTAGTCGGGGTCGAGGATTTGGCGTACCTACATGGATGTTCCCCAATCTGGTTAATTTCCTGATAGTGACACCGGGGAAACCAGGTGGAAGCATCTTGTTGACGCAGAGCTTGAACCACTGGAGGTCATCCAGCATGCGTTCCTTGGGAAGAGCTGCCGCGGATTCAGCAACGTTACGAAAGATAACAGTACTATCAGTAAAAGAATCACCTCGACGAGGCGTATTCACTCCACGAGTCTTCGACGCGACCTCAGTTTCGACCGGTGTGGCAGGTGACACGGCGCGTTTCTTCGCCAAGCGAGCTGGAGTAATCGAGGTTGAGGTTTCGTGTTCTACCTCCAACTCCCTCACCGGTCTAGTCTTTTCAGACTTTGCGGGTGTGGCCGAAGTCGACACTGCGCCTTGCTTCGCCAATGGAACTGGGGTGATTGGAGTCGGAGCTTTGTGCTTCACCTCCAATACCTTAATGGTTTCAGTACCTTCAGAATTTGAGGCAGCCTTACGGACTTTTTTAGCCCTCTTCCTCTTGCTTTTATTGGGCACAAGGGCTATTGAAAATGAAATGAAATGTGTCAGCTTATACGCCGTAACGGCGCTTCGCTGCCGCGCGACCACCACCAGTCGCGCGCGGGCTGAGTATACCGCGAGGACGCCCACCCCTACGCGGATTCGAACCGGTGACCTAATGGTTGGAAAGCAAACGTGCCAACCACTCGGCCACCGGCCGACCACAAGGGCTATTAGTTAGGTCTCGCTTTGAACGGCTTCCAGTACGGCATCAGAGGCCCCTTTAGAGGCATTCTGAACCGCTGAGGCACAAGACACGGTAGCCATCACCTCAGTCGAATTTTCATCGACAGCAATTGAGGTTAGTTGCGTGTCTTCCTCCAATGAGCCGACATCAATAGAGACTCCCATTTTCCTCATCAGTAACTCCACTTTCCGATCAAGAGATATGAGGAAGGACCACAACTGCTGGTTACTCAGCCCGACGTTGCTCGATGTCTCCTCAGTGACCTCAAGACGCATAGATCGACGGCGACGGCATTGAAGACAATTGGACAGCATGCTATCGTTAGTCGAAAGCATTGCGTACTGATCAGGGCTCAAATCGGTACAGGTCTCATGGTACCTGCAGTTGCATACATAGCACTGCATGCCACCAGACTCGTCCGTCACGGGCTTTGAGCAGTTCCCGCTGCCGCAAACAGCATAAGATTCGTTGATCAATGCAGCCGATGACATATTATGTTCAAGTTCAGGTTCAATTTGGACTGGAACAATAGGATGAATCCCGTAATTTTTCCTTCTTGAGCGGGTCTTCGATCCAGGATTTGATAGAGGTGCTCCGACTTTTTGATGTGTCTAAAGGAAAAACACCCGAGAAACCACATTGGTGGACACCAATTCAGTGCCTACGTTCCTTACATTAGCTGTCCCAGCTATGTCAGTTACGTGAAGTAAGTAAGAGAGGAAGATAAAGAGAAGGTAAGATAGTAGGGGAAATCAGTTAAAAGACGAGAATAATATCAATGGCGAGGAAAAGTAAAGAAAATAGAATCGAAGTATGAAGATGGGAATTAGTCAGGAAAAGGATTGGTTTCGTGTTGCCACCCAAGCGCGTCTAGTTGACGCTCAAACCCCTTAACCGTAGATTCCTTGACAACATGTTCTGGAAGCAGGTTCCAGCGCTCGATGACTCGACGTGCTAACCGTGTCTCCGCTCTAACTCGATCGGAGCGCGTTTTGTCCAGCTTCATACAATGCCCGCGAAGACCAGATATTCTAGCAGGACTAAATAGCATAAACAAATCAGGACCAATCTTCCCAGTCAAAATACGGTAGGTTAGGATTAGGTCCCATCTCATCCTTCGATAGTGCATTGACTGCATTCCCAAACTAAATAGGCGTTCGGGGTATGTTTGCCCTCGTAATCCCTTGACCCACCTAGTACCGACACGCAACGCCCTTTCTAGTGCCATTTTGTCCCGGACAAGGCATGGTGGACAGGCCTGGACGCAATATTCTAGGTGGGGTCGTACAAACGCTGAGAAAAGCTTTACAAACACATCAGCGGTTAGGGTCCCAAAAGAATGACGGACAAACCAAAACATCCGGAACCCTTTACTAGCCGCCTTCTTCCAGTTGTCGCCAGAGTGTAGTGTGGAACAGTGGACGACACATAGATCAACCTGATGAGTCACGTGAGGAAGTTCGCTCCCATCCAGCACATAACTTATGAAGGTACCAGACGCTCCGATACGCAGCACTG